ACACACACAAACCAGCAGGATTAACTTTAAACAAATAAAAGCAAAGTCAAACAAACATTTTCAACCCATTTTAAATCTAACCCCCCCTCCTCTTCAATTATGCTTTGGCCTCCTCCACTTCCTGTGGGCTGGGCTTAATAGGCCACTTCCTGCAGGCTTTGGGCCCTTTGCCAGAGGAGCCTGACACAAACAAATGGTAGGTGTTACTGCAAATTAAAGACAAACAGAACAATTCAAGAAGAGGAAAGAATTTACTCAGAGAGTAAAGATACTTTGTGTAATGTTTTTTACTGAACTGAAATGTAAAAAAATATATAATAAACAATGAGCTGATGTTGTAACCCTCACACAGATGTAGCCAACAAACAGAACTGGACAAATGGGATGTGAAGTTTTTATCAGCTTTGTTTGGTGGAGTTCAGGACTCGTGAGGATTAGTTTCCATCCATGATAGTTCCAGTCTAACTTTTACCATTATCTAAAACCTCTCAGAATTATCTTTACAACCACTTTGGGTCTTTCAACAAGCTGTTAACACAACAGTGACTTTCACCTTGCAGTATGAAACTTTGCTTACTATTAGCAAGCAACAGCCTATTTCCACTTCATACAAACATGATGCAGTTATTGGTAGAATTCAAATTTCTCTCATTGTCACTATGTTCACCAGCTCGTTTTTAACTGTCTGTTGGTATTTCGGTGTTGTATAAGAAGAGCATGGTAGCTTCATCAAGGTGTTCTTGTGGAACCGGCTTCAGCTGGATAGGAAGGTGAGCGAGAGCAGTTTGAGATAATCAAAACCATAGACTGTACGTAAAGATGGTTGACATGACAGCTCCCCAAATGTGAAGACAAATCATGTAGCTCGCCCCCTGCTGGCTGGGCGCAGTTTAGCTCATATACCTTGCCTCCTCAGTGTTAGTGGATGGGACATGGACCAAGCTAACAAGGCAAAGTACATTTTAAATAGATTGTTTTTTCCAACATGGTTTCTGTCATTTTAAGTAATTCTTATTAAGCCGATATTTGTTCAGTGCTTATTTCTTCAGTAAGTTTGGTTTGAATTGATTATTTGATGCTGTAAAAATAGTTTGAAATGTTCTGATTGACAGCTAAGAGTGACTCTCTTATTGGTTCCGCACATTTATCAGTGGGACCTCGATAACACGGCTCCCCGCCATGATCACTAGTGCAAAGACTTTGGCTCCAAATGACACCAAAATTGCAATACGGCAGCAACTGTATCCAAGGTATTTAACCTAATTCTTGAGCAATAGCAGGAACTGGAGATGTAGTCCATCTTTATTTGGATTGTGTGCTTGCCAGAGGTGCTGGTGGGTGGGGAGGGGGGACTGAATGGCTGAGGAAGCTCAAAAACACATGCCAGGGATTCTAAATCTCTATGTCAGGCTTGGTTTTGAAGTGTTGATGTGTATATTTTTGGCAGCTCTTCTGTGTCATCTAATTTACTTGGTGATATGTTGGCTTTTATCTCTCACTGCAGGCTCAGACAGCCAGTTGGATGTGTTTCCGCTGCGTGAGACTCTTCACCGGTACAACTGAGCTATTACCTGAGCCATCCTGGACTAATTTGTACTTAGGTAGGTGCATGAAAAAGAAAGGATCAATGTTAGAATGTGGATGAGAGCTCGTGCCGTACAAATGAATTGGCTTTATTCTTTTGCCTAATCCAACACAGAGCTGATGTTGGAATATCACAGCAGGCATAAGATTTAATTACACTTCTCCGAAACAGTTTAAATGTGATATTGTTAACTATCCATTTGTGCATGTGATCCAGATGTTACACTGTAATTAGGATTTGTCTTTGTCATTTAACAACATTTATTTTGTTTCTGTATAAATTGATTATTCAGTTTTTAATCTCAATGGTCCTGCAGATATTTTATATGAGACTTATTAAACATGGATGAAAATAGAGAGCTCAGTGACATAAGACTTTCCATCTTCAATCGGTCTTATTTCGTGTGTGTCCCTTGTGGACAGGAAAGCTGTTTAAAAGGAAATCTTTCTCTGAGATGTTTTGTTTCCCTCTCTGTTGATTTCTCTTTATCTGACATAATATGCAAATATGCATTTTTTTTAGCTCATTATCTCTCAGGTTGGGGAAACATGGGAATAAATCTCTGTCCACATATCCAGTCCTCTTCGGATTAACTCTCAGCAGTTTTATTTTTAGTCTGTGTATCCAGAGCTGGTTGTGGAGCTGCTTCAGCCCTCGTGATGTTGGGAACACTAACTGCAGGTAAAACTAAGCTCTGTGACCAATGACAAGGGTATTAGTAACAGCTGATATTCTAATCATTTTTGTCAAAACCCTTTTTAATGCTGGACTTTTCTTTTTGTTCTTTTAACCACTAATAAGGTACCTACAGTATTAAAATATCCAGCAGATACAAAGCAACAAAAGCGTTTATAATAATATCTCCTATCTTTTAGCTCTATTTAGGTCCCAAACAACTCATGAAAGATATATCTGATGCCTCAGCACTTAAATGCTTCCCTCTGTTCCCCTGTAACTAATTTTTATCTATCTGCTTGTTGGATGGGTTTAGTGAGACTAATCCAAAACAAAAGAAATTAGCAAAAAGATGCTGAAATGCTCATTAGACCTGTGGGGAACTGCACAGTCAGATGAGGATTTATAGAAAGGAGCACCTTTCTAATTGCACATAGTCATTTGGGTTATTATTTATTCAACATTGATCAGTGCAACTTTAGTAAATGTAAAGTAAATTTTTTTAACTTATGGAGTTCACATGTTTTTCCTTCACTTCCCTTTTCTTCTCATCTTTCTTTAATCTATGTTTGTTCTTTTTTCTTTTGAGATTCATTTAACTTGTGTGTGTGTGTGTGTGTGAGAGAGAGAGAGAGGAGACGAAAACAGGTTCAATACACTTTTGAAAGCATTTTATAGTCTAAAGGAAGGAAATGTCATTGATTCAGTCTAAATAAAATGATTGTCTTTCACTCACAAATGTTTTTTTGTCATATATACAGTAATTAATTAAGTACATTATTGAACTGAGATAAAAGTGAATTTGTGCACATCAAATGTCGTCCAAACTTGAACCTGATTAGACTTTACAGAATCCTTGTATCTGGTTGAGTCATTCCCCCTCATCCAGCGGCACAGAGCTGGACTGAATATGATAATCGTGCAGTTGCCATGGCTCATTTTGCCGCCACTCAACTGTAGATTTATTTACATTTATTTTGCATTTCATCAGGGAAGTGACCGTTTCCTAGCTGCACGGTGGTCAGCCTGTCACATTTGCCCCAAGAGGAAGGTGCAGTATGTCCAGACCACCCCCTGCCTGTAACATGGACTTGTTCTTGGCTGACCTGGAGGAAATGGTGCAGACGGCAAACAGTGGGGTGTTCTGTTTGTGCTCTGTTACACGGGAGACAGTGCAGAAGGGAGTTGAGGTTAGCTTGGTTCTCCGAGAGACTATTTTTTTGCATTTTGTAAGGCACAGAAAATGTCTGATACTTACATACATACATATTTGAAACTTTAGATCTGGCACCATTTAAGACCCCTTTAGTGACATTCTTTCAAAAGAGCGACTTGCACCAAATCTATTGCCTTTTTGTGCAGACTTTGACTCCTTTTCCCTGAAGGAGAGATACTAATATTTCTCAGTAAATGTGCAGTAATATTTCTCATCTGGCTCCTGCACTGACTGTGTTCAGCGAGTGAATCAGCAGCCAGAGTGAAGACACACAGAGCAGGCTTTAGCTACTTGCCATTAAAAAAAATCAACATCTTCAAAGTTTTCCATTTTATCGGTTCAAAAATCCACCGTGTGGCTCCTGTAGTATTTGCTGCTAACTAGCAAAAGTGACCTGCGTTAAAATGAAATTGTATTAGTGTAAAATGCAGCTTTGCATGTGTTAGATGGAATTTGTTTCCTTTGAGCTGAACCAGTCTAGCGCTTTCTCTCAAGCCTTTAAGCTAAGCTAATCATTTGCTGGCTCTAGCTGCAAATTTAGTCCATGGACATTAGACCAGCATTCTTCTTATGTAATTCTTGGCAATAAAGCAAATAATCATATTTCTCAAAATGTCAAATATACCTTTCAGACCATGTAAAAGCATATCAGCCCAAAATCTGTAACACATGTGTCAGTATAATCTCTAAAAAGCCTGAAGACATTACTCATACTCTGTTTAACTGTTTCAAGTTTACATCTGAAACACATCTTGTGTGATAACTCAGATTTACTTTATTTATGAGGTTTGAAGTTCTCACACCCAGGGCTCAAACATGGATTTACAGACCACGTGGCCTGATTCCAGACCACTTCCACAGGCCAATACATGTGTGATGAATGTGATGGTCTTCATCTGTTATCTGTGGAGAAGGTGGAGAGCAGTTCCTGTCCTCAGTCAGATGTGCGGTGTGTGTGTGTGTGCACCATGCCATGTTGCTTAGAAACCCCTCATCTAGCTCAGACCCTGGTCACCGGCCGAATTTTTTTTTTTAATCTCCGCAGCAGTCATCGCTTTGTCAGCATGTGACACTAGCCCAGTTCTCACCGTGCAGCTGGGTCTCACCGCCACATCGGGTTCACCGCTGACAGCATGTGATTCTCGCTGCACGGGAAGGTCGGAGCTGTGAAAGAGAGTTTTACAGCGGCAAACGCACCAGTGGCAGATTTTTCACTCCAGGCCCTGTGTCACTAAAGAAAGAAGAATGAAACTGTGAAGCATGTGAACATTTATATCTCTCTATCACACACGCACACACACACATAAACGCTCTGCACCCGTTAGCTCGGTGATCGACAACCCAACAACACCGCGAAATCACTACACCCGCTGAATGTCCCTCATAATTTTACACATCGAAGTTTTAACCTACGGCTGACTGGAGTGATTTTCACACCGAGAGAGGAACCACAAAACACCCAAATGAATATGTTTCATACCAGACAGCCTCCTATCCTCTGCCTGTATATCATCAGCCTGTCAGTGCGTACCTCTCCTCCCTGCGCTCTCACTGTAAACTCTGCCTTCTTCAGCGGAAGGCCTGACACACACTGCAGGCTTCAGGGTCGGCCTCAAAACCCTGCTGGGTTCTTAATGACCTCCCCTGTTATCACTTCACCGCTACTCCTCACACCTGCACTGAAGAATAATATTTACCCTGTCTGTCATCGTGTGTGTGTGTGTGTGTGTGTG